ACAATAAATATACATTTTTAATTAATTCATATAAAAAGTTATAAAAATTAACTTTTATTTTAACATATGAATTATTTTAATTAATTAATTATATAAAAATTAATATTTACATTTTTTATATAAAATTAATTACATGAATCCAAAGGAAAAATCCTTAAAAAAATCCCAAAGCAAAATGTTTTTTTTTTTTTTTGGTTATAAGGACAAGTACAAGGACAAAGGGAAAGAAATTGATTCCACTTATGGGGAGAAACACCAATAACCCATAAACCAAGTTATTACAAGTATTTAAGTGATTGATTAATGAAATTTTAATTCCAGTCTTGAAAATAAACTATTAAACTCAAGAATCTTTGTCTTTTTTTTTTACTAATCCTTTAATATTATATAATCATATTAAATTTTAATTAATTTAAAATTAAATCACATCAAATTTTATTAAAAAAAAATTTTTCAATACTTATTTATCTATTTCTAAACTTTAGATCAAAATTCTTTCAACTTGTCATTGGTAACAAAAATGCATTTTTAAACTTTGCGAAAAGGTCTAACAGAAATTTAGCACTGATGAATTTTTAATTTGTATTGACATAAAATCCCGACCCCACAGCTCCCGCATCATCCGCGCTAAAAATTAAGATACCTCGGTTATCAACACGGTTTCCCTCACCCTTCCCTTGCAATCAAAGCCTGGAAAATGCCTCCACGGGACCACGTTCGCCTCCAAAGTCCAAACTATAAATACAACCCCACTATCCCGCAGTTTTCCCTCATCACATCCCAAACTTCATCAAATCAACAAAGAGAGAAAAAATCAAAATAAAAAATGGAATCGATGGCCCTAAATTCATCTCCTCTTTCTCTCCGCCCTTTCTCCACCACCACCGTCTCTAGCCGTCATAGGCGGTCGGCGATCTCAACGAAGATATTCGCGGCGAAGAAAGAGGCGCGCGGCCGAGACTCTGGCGGGCGGATCGTTGATGAGAGCATGATCGTTCTTCGGAAGAGGATTCACGAGATGAAGATGATCGAGAGGAACTACGAGCCGCCTGCGGACTGGATGGAGTGGGAGAAACGTTTCTATACGAGCTACGATTCGATGATTTGCGAGATCATGGGAGTGTTGCAGTCTCAGTTGATGAACACTCGCCCCAGCGTCGCGTTGGGGGTGATGGCTCTGATTGCGCTCAGTTTGCCGATCTCTGCCACCGTGGTTTTCTCTCAATTGACGGAGATGGCTAAGGGGATTTGGACCGGCATTGATGCTGTATTTTGAGAAATTGAAATTTCGTAAGTTCTGTATATAAACAGAATTCAGTACTTTGTTGTTATTTCTACTTCTGGAGATCCATGGACTAATTTTTAAGCCTACAAGATCTCCATTTATTAAGTACATTTAGAATTCTATATTTAATGAGAAAATTATTTTACAGAACCATCTATATACAATCTATATATATAAATATGAACAGGAAATTTTTCAGTAAAAGGGAAACTAAGACTTAGGAATAAAAAGAACTATGAATAGAATCAAAGCATTTATGTTCAGCCCCATGCCTTCAAAAGGGACGGCCGATGGCAGTGTGCCTCATTGAAGTCGGGTTGTTAATTAGATCTGGGATTGAATCTTTAGTTATTAACATATGGGATTGAATCTTTAGTTATTAACATATGATAATATTAATCTATTAATCATTATCCTTATAAAAAAATGCATTCAAAAGGGACATAACTAAGCCACTTAGTATTGGATCATTTACATACTATCTATATAACGCTGGATCATTTACATATTATCTATATGTAAATCTATTTAATAAAATTATTTAAATATTTTAATAAAATAAAATAAAATAAATATTAAAAATATTTAAATAATTTTACAAAATAAATTACCTAGAAATCATCCTTTAGAACAGTTTTTTCATATTTAATTTGGAATCCTCTATTTTACAATGTTTTACAATCCCCTGGATAAGGAGTGTGCCAATATCAGTTGTGCAGCGATAAGTATTATATAATATAACCTAGAACCATCTGAAACTGCACAATTCTTTGAAACAACATTGTCTTTTACGACACCTATTATATATTTACAACACCCTCTATTACATGAGTTTGGGTTGAGGAAAAAATACTCAATTAGGGGTTTTTTTAAAGTATTTTTCTCTTTTATTTAACCATTATCAACAAGATCTTACCATTTTTGGGCAGATTACTTTAACATTTTCCTTTGAGAGTAAATAGCTAGAGCTCCTGGATCTAAGAAAGCATAAATGAATGGATATATGGCTCTCAGCCGTCCCTTTCATTTTTAGTTCTTTCGACGAATTTAGACGGATATAAAAGTTTATTATTCGTTTTATTTTTAAAACATTAAATAAATTTAAAATTATATTATTTTAATAAAATGATAGATAATTAAAGTTGAGAAATAATAATAAAGTTAATATAAAAAAATATTTTATTATTATTTAAAAGGAAATTTTTGCTTTGAACACCATAGGAATTATAGAAGAGGTTCCTCAGGTTCCCTCGCCGAATCAAACACGGTATTCCAATTTCCAATTTCCAATTTCTTCCTCACGTAACTCATTTCCAAATTCCTACAGGACGTTGTATTTTCGTTTTCTGTAAAAGAAATATATGAACCTTCCTGTTTTTTTCTGCGTAAAGGTCCAGCAGCACCCTCTATAAAAGGCAAACAAACCCACTTACTTTCTCGACAGCCAAACAATCCCGCCTCCTCTCCTTTCCTCTTCTTCCTCTCACATCCAAAACCCTATCTTCCTTCCTCCACATAACTCTCATTTCTCTTCCCTCCACAGAATCTGTATCCCCTTTCCCCTATATCTCAATTTCATCACTTTTTCCCCCTCCACGCTAAGTGATAAAAGCACATTTTGATCTCAATCTTGGTTGTCCCCAATTTTCTCGAGAAAAATTAAAAAAAAAACCACCCAGATTTTGTTTTCTTGATTATTTGAATTACTTTCGTTCGATTTTTGTTGCTATTCTTTTTTGTTTGTTTCCCAGAAAGGAAAAAAAAAGGGGAAGATGGCAATTGCTTATCCTCGTTTCATAGGGTCCGAGAAAGCATCCATGGAGACGGGTATCCCTTCCCTGTCTCATTCTACACCTGTATCCCCTCCGGTAATCCTAACCCAGGACGAGCTTAAGAAAATCGCCGCCTACAAGGCCGTGGAGTTTGTGGAGTCTGGTATGGTTCTTGGCCTTGGCACTGGCTCCACCGCCAAGCACGCAGTGGATCGCATCGGCGAATTGCTGCGGCAAGGCAAGCTGAAGAACATTGTAGGGATCCCTACCTCTAAGATGACCCATGAGCAAGCGGTGTCTCTTGGGATTCCTTTATCGGATCTCAATGAGCATCCAGTTGTTGATTTAGCGATTGATGGCGCTGATGAGGTCGACCCACATCTCAATCTCGTTAAGGGCAGAGGCGGGTCTCTCCTCAGGGAGAAAATGGTGGAGGGTGCTTGCAAAAAGTTTGTTGTCATTGTTGATGAATCCAAGTTGGTGAAGTATTTGGGAGGAAGTGGATTAGCTATGCCTGTGGAGATTATCCCCTTTTGTTGGAAGTTTACCGCAAAGAGGCTGCAAGACTTGTTCGAGGATGCGGGTTGCTCTGCGGCGCTAAGAATTGAAAAGGGAGAGCCTTTTGTCACAGATAATGGTAATTATATCGTGAACTTGTTTTTTAAGAAGGATATTGGGGATTTGAAGGCTGCTAGCGATGCAATTTTGAGGATTGCCGGCGTGGTGGAGCATGGGATGTTTCTCGGCATGGCTACTACTGTGATCGTTGCAGGTGAGCTAGGGGTCACCGTCAAGAATAGGCAGTAGGGCCTCAGGAAGTGATGGTTTTATTGAAAAATCTAACATCTTTATATGTAGGGATTATTTTAAATTTTTTGATAAACCACAAAGTCAGATTGTTGTAACAGTGAAAGATTGTTAGGTTCCTTGGCATGCATTGTTGAGGGGAGTCTCCTAAAGTTTTGCCATTGATTTCGGAGACAATTTAGCCCAAGAAGATTTTAGGAATGTTTAAGATTTTAAGTCAGCTGAATAATAAGCTTAATGTATTCAGCTGAGAATATCATTTCAATATAAAATCTGCTCATTATTAATTACATGTTGCGGGACTGCTTTTGTATCTTTTGAAGTCTGTGGGTTGGATCTGAGTTCGAATAATACGTTCAAACAATTGCAGTGAACTTTCATGTCGTTTTTCATGCCTTGACTTGAGATCATACAGAAGTTGTTTTGCAGTCTTGTTTCCTAAAGTTCTTCATACATGTAAAGATTGTTCAAGTATACACTGATTGTCTTATTAGTGTAGGTTTCAGCATGATAGCATTCAACTTATTTGCTTTGTTAATAGTATCATATCTTTTGTCTGCTTCCCTTTAAAATCAATTACTCTAATTCTAGGCAACTGCTTTTGATTTGTAAACCGGTGAAATACTTGTGTTCCAATCTCGGAGTGGTTGTATCATTTCACATCATCTGCATGTTAATGCTTGAAGCAGAACCAGTTAAAGCAGTTATACCTTGTTCTTCAGTGGGAAAAACCTGCATCTGACTTTTGCTTGTTGCACCTTCTCTGAAGAGTACTTTTTAGGAAGTGACATGGTGCTAATTATGTTTACTTGCTAGTAAATCTTAGTATTAGATCCCCCTTCCTGTTTGATCTTACAGATTTATCCTTCTGCTGTGACATGTTGAAGATGATTACAAGGATTTTGGTATTCAGATTCATGTGGGGTTTGAGTTGATTTGTATTTATGGTGAGTGTTTGTTATTGTGATTCATAACGTTGAATTGCAGTTCCATATTACATACACAAGCCCTGACACAAACACGGAACTCTTTCAACAGTTTTATTTAATGCTAGTTATGATTCTAGACATTTTCCATTCATAAGAGTGTTACTGCAAAAACTGAACCCCTATCTGTAGCCTATGGGTTTTTTTTAGTTCAATGTTTGGAAGAAGTTGCAGGAACATCCTGGATTGCTGGTAAAGCAGGTTTTGAATGCGTTCATCTGATAAGGCATTTGTTCTGCAGCAAAAATGCTTTGACGAGGTTAACCAATGACTTCCTCATGCCAATTTATCTCAGTAAGCAATATTAAATTCTTTGGGAAAAATCTGTGCATTTTCCAGTTTCCTTTATCTCACTAGCCTGTGTATCGAGATTTAGGAGATGTGAAAAGTTCTTGGTTGTTTAGATATATAGATGGCATCATTCAATTCTTGGGCATAGACAAATGCGTAGGACTTGAAAGGGCTTTGTTTTTTTTTTGTCAATGTTCCTGGGTGGAGGAGAGCCTGATTTTGGAACTTGGCCATATTTACACTTGTCAAGGTCATTTTCATTCTGAAACTTCTTATAGTCTTTATAAATGGTTTTTGGGTTATACGTAGGGTATCTCTAGTCTCTAGATGATGCCAACTCTTGGCATGGTTCTGTCTGTCTGCTAATGAACTCTTGTTCTTGCATTTGAGATTCTTACATTCTGTGTTGTTGAGAGCATATAATTTCAAGAATCTTCTCAATTCTCCTAGGTAAACCTATGTTGAAGAACATCCTGACAGCAAATCCAGAGGTTTGGATTTCACAAAGTAAATGTTTCTTCACATTCATCATGCTTGAGTGATTGCCTCAGCCTCTTCTTTTTCTGATTTTGACTTCGGATGAACTGAAGTAGTTTGGAGATGATAAGTTTACAAGGGTGTTGGTATTTTGGCACTTGGTTCGATCTCTTTAACCATACCGCCCTTCAGGTTCGAGTCAGTCCCTTCTGGTTCATACTTCATAGGCAATATATCGGAATTATTGTAAAGTTGAGGGACCAAAATGGTGATTTAATAAAAAAGAAAAAAACACTCCACGTTTTGTTGAATATTGATGTAGACGGGTTGCATTACGGGCCAATGCAGGCCCCTTAGCCCACTCCAATGGGCCCTGTCGTAACCCGACCTTGAATATTTCAAGGAAGAAAAAGAAAGGAAAAGGAAATATATAATGAAATCGAAAAAATATAATACAGTTTAAATTATATTAAATTATATCATATTAATTATTTAATAAAATAAAATTTTATTATTAGATATTTTGTTTTCATTTAATAATTTTTATTTTATAATTTAATGTAACTTAAACTATAAATCGTAAAACATAGTTTCCTAATTAAAAAGATTTTGCTCCACTGACTTTTTAATTTAGTAATTAGTACTACTCATCATTCCATTAATAGATAAATACTGTAGATTATAGCATAATCTTTCAGATTCTTGGTTAGGATATGATCATTATTATTACCCTTTTGTTACTTTCTTTGCACCAATCGATGCAGAATATATGAAGTGCTTTACGGAAGTAATATTCCACCTAAAACAGAAACTTCCCACATCTTAATTTCAGAACCAGGTTTTTCCTGCTTTTTGTACTGTATTTAAGTCGAAACATCTGTGCTGTATATGGTTCATATACTATATTTTTATACTCAATTATCTAAATAATTTAATAATTATTTATTTTTGTTGAAAATAAAAAATTATACATTCAAGTAACATAACATGTAAATATAATAAAATAAGAGATGAAAGATAATTACTTTTTATTGTATAATTAAAATTAAAAAAAAAATACTATACTTTTATACTTTCCTTCAAAGAATTACATAATAACACAAATTGATTCTAAAAATATGGTAGCAATCTATTTCATTACTCTCTTTTGTATATTTCTTGAGGAATAATTCTGTACCCTATGAAGCATAATTAGGCTCAGAAAAGAGGTAGGAGAAGAATAGAATAGGATGCTTAGACTTAGAGTACCAAGTTGCGGCTTTCGGCTGAAAAAGACCACAAATATAAAGCCTCCAACTAATTAGTAACTAAATCCGTGGTTTTGACTCTTAAGATGGATACCCAAGAGATTGATTTTTTATGATGAAGAAATGTGGAAGATATAACTAGAAAAGACGCGATACCAATAGAAACCAGACTTATCTTCCAAATTAGACACAAAATATTAATTGATTTGTCTCAATTGCAGCAAACTAGCAACGTTCATTGTCTTGTTTCTATCTTCAAAATTTTTTGTGATTTAGATATATGCATAAGAAGACAATTTTTTAGAGAAATACTACACAATTTAAATTACTAAATACAAAATAAAATCTTTTGGTATTAAAAGTTATATAATTATCTAATAAATTATGTTTTGATATTTAGATTACAAAATACGAGATTTAATTTTTTTATGACTTTTTTACTATTTACTTGACATTGTAGAGATTTCATACTAAGATATCATAGAAAATCAACATGTTCTTTCATATAATCATGTGTGTGAATGTGAGTTAGTATATGCAAACATGAATCATTATTAATAATTTGATCTCATTTGTAGTTAGCTTAAGCTCATTTTATTAATCAATTAAGCAAAATTATAATTGCTAATGAAGTAATGACTACCTAAATTGACAGGTTGCCAGTTGACTCGAAAAACCAGATGCGAGATGATTTTTTTATTTAGTTTTTATATAAAATATAGAATAAATAAAAGAGAAGTGAAGTCTTTTGCTCTGTTTTTTATTTTAATTTATGTCGTTTGGTGCCGCAAGCCTTACTTTTTTTTCTTTTTTTTTTTTCAACCGTTTATAATTTTTGAGGAAAGGGTTGAAGATTTCTAAGACGTTGGTGAAGTTTACAATTTCGATTAATTTAATTTAAGTATTTAAAGATTTGGAACAAATCATATGGATTCGAAAGCTTCTCTAGCAATGCGGTGAATAGGAATATTAATTTTATTTTTTATTTAAAAATATTAATTTTATTAATTTTTAATTTAAAAATTAATTTAATAATAATACTGATGTGGAATAAATAAATTTTATAATAAAAATATTAAAAATTAATTTTTAAATGAAAAAAATTGAAAAATTATTATTTTTAATAAAAAATAAAAAATTAACATTAAAAAAAATAAAAACTAAAAAATTTAACATTTTTATTTATAAATAATAAAATTAATACTTAAAAAATATAAAATTAATATCGTTATTTACACATCTTCTAACATTGTTTCTGTCGTTTTGTGTCGCAGGTGCGATTTAGGCAGTCACCGACCTTCTTGCCTTTCCTCTATTTGATCGGCGTTCTCGTCTTCGACGCTGTACTTTCTGCTTCCGTCCCAATTCCCGGAGCTCCGATCGCTGTGACTTTTCATTTCACTCCTTTCAGGTTCGTTTAGTGTTTTCCGGTTCTTTTAGGTTTTGGTGTTTTCAATTCTGAATTCTAGTTAATTACTCTTGATTAACCTAGGGTTACTTTTTGCTTAGCTGCAATTCGCCAATTAGGATCCCGCTTTGTCTTTTAATTTCCAAATTGGTTTTATTGTGATTGAATCTGAATTTATCTTGCTTCATCTGACCGAAATTCCCCGCCTTTTAAGTCCAATTTTGCAAACTTGCTATTCAGTTAGCTATTAATGCACACTCGAGATTCAATTTTCCGAATTTGAGTTTAATTTATTTCAATTCCTGAATACTTAGATGGGAATCCGGCCCCAGCGTGCACAGATGCAGAGTTCACGTGTTGGTGGCATCCGTGATGATAGTTCAGGTCATCTGCATAATACCTTAACTATGGTTCCTGGGCTGAACCGTGCACGGAAACTCATTAGAGGAAGAATGTAAGGGTTTTCTGTTTGCATGATTGTTGATGCTTTTGTGAAAATGTTTAGTACATATTACTGACACTGACTTGTGGTTAGAGTTTTTATTTGTTTCTGTTTTCATTGCATCAAATAGTTGTATCTCCTACTTGATTTAGCCTACTTTGCAGTACAAAGTAGAGTATAATATCTATTAGATACTTGGTGTTGAAATTGGCAACACTATCACTGAGATTACATAATCAATGAATTTTCTCACCATTTAATAACAAGCATTGTAGTCTAGTTGCTGAGGGACCTAAGTTAAGGTGGTATGGCAACTGTCTCACTAAACAATTCGATAAACTTCTGTTATTTTGAATTTTATTGAAAAACCCTAGTCATTTATGATTCCTAAGAAATTGGTTTTAACCTCAAAGGTCATTTTCAACACTTTTTTTTCTGGCTCAATCATTTTAGGGTCCTTTCAAAATTTTGAGCACTAGAAAGGTTTGGGTTCAATTAGAATAAAAAAAGAAGAAGCTAATGGTAGAATAAAAAAGATACATAAAAATTTTCTTGCCTTCTATCTGTTACTTTTGTTTTAATCTTCTTCCTCACTTCTCATGCAACAGGGAATGCATTGCCTTTAACAATAGGCTTATTTTAGAGAAGATTAAAATTTAATGAACTTGTGATTTTGTTTAGTTGCTTTCTTCTAGTTGCTCATTTGTTTAGTTA